AAAGTTATACGGTTTGATGGTCCTCCAGATGGTAACCGTTTATCAATACTGTTCTAAACACTGAACAAAATATCTCTTCAACCCTGACTTGACCTGTCCTGGCTGTATTTACCTGATCTCTCCCGATGTTGTATTTATCTCTTCTCCTGCCGACATTCGGACTGCAGGTCACTCATCTATCGCCTCCTTATGCTACTTTTCTTACGTTGATTGCAAATATTTTCTTTCTTTTATCCATCAGACAATTCTTTTGATATTTGCTAAATGTTGTCTGTTACAAGTCCAAACGAGGGTAATGTGGCGCGGAAGACTTGGGCTGGTGGACTATACTTGTGTCTATAGATAAACGCTGGTCGGATTTCTACTTGAATCTATAGGTAAATATTGCTTTATTTTATAATTGAGACTCTAGGTTAATATTGTTCGGGTTTATGCTCAAGGTTATAGGAAAACACAGGTTGTGTTTGTACTTGAGTCTATAAGCAATCACTTGTAAATATTGGTCGGGTTTCTACTTGAGTCTATAAACCGTTTTCTTGCTTGAGTTCATATCAAACATAGATCAGGTTCATACTTGAGTCTATGGGTAAACATCGATCAGGTTTATACTTGAGTCTAAATGTAAAAAAAAATGATCGGATTTATTCTTGAAACTCAAGGTTAATATCGGCGGGTTTATGTTCCAGGCTATTAGAAAATACAGGTCGGGTTTGTACTTGTGTCTATACGTTATCACTTTACTTCGTAGTTAAGCATTAGTCAGATTTTTACTTCAGTCTGTAGGTAAATATTGGGCGGGTTTAAACTTGAGTCTATAGGTAAACATTGGTAGTGTTGGCATTTGAGTCTATACGTAAACATTGATCAGGTTTATACTTGAGTCTGTCGGTAATCATTAATCAGGTTTATACTTTGGAGGCACGGTGGAGTAATGGATAGCGGCTTGGATTGAGGAATCGGAGAGCCGAGTTCGAATTCCAGTTGAATCCATTACATTCACTTACGCGCTAACACGCTTGAGAAAGGTGTGAATCCTCTTTCTTCCCCCTCCAGCTATGGGTAAATAGCAGGACAGACTAGGTTCTATAGCCTTGGATGGCAACTGGTCTAGGAGAAGTAAAACTCTGAATTCAAACCTGCTCTTAGAGGAGGGTGAATGGAGTCTCTCTGAGCCTTGGTTGGCAATCCATTTAGTGTTGGTGTCACGATAAAAACACCCTTGATAGCCCTAGCGAAGCATCAAGAATTTAGCTATTTGACAAGATTATGAACTACACCAATCAAAGTATTAGTGAGTTCAATCTCGGCTGAGGCCGCAAGATGATGATGATACTTAAGTCTATAGGTAAACATTTGTTGGGTTTATACTTGAGTCAATAGGTAAGCATTAATCAGGTTTATACTTGAGTCTATAGGTAAACATTGGTCGAGTTTATACTTGAGTCTATAGGTAAGGATTGGTCAACGTTATACTTGGGTCTATATGTAAACATTGGTCGGGTTTATACATGAGTCTGTAGGTAAGCATAGGTAAGGTTTAAACTTGAGTCTATAGGTAAACATTGGTCAAATTTATACTTGAGTCAGCAAGTATTTATCCGGAAGTTGGCTTCTTTTCTGGTGGTCTTAATTCTCTTCGATGGATGTCGTCAGCATGTCGTAAGCCCAGACGACAAGACTGGGGAAAATAGTATCTGATGGAAATTTTTCAAAATAGATAAATACCACATGCTTTGAAAATCAGCATTGGAAATCTAGCCTTGAACACAAGCTTGAACACCCCCACTTCTCACTGGTCGGGAGGGGGGGCGGAGTTTACTATTAGGCTGGAAACGACCAGATAGTTCTTTTCACTGCTGCATTTTTTCGTCCGTATCTCAACATTGGCCTCACAAATAGAATAATATAAATGTGTTTTTCTGATAGATTTTATATTTGATGGACTGCATCAACTTTGGCACAATAGTACATTCATAAAGCGTCCTATGAAGAACCAATTTATTGCTATGGTGTCGTGGGGGTAACGATGCCAACCGGTGTAAAGCAGCATAGGCTCCTTATAAAACTCTTCATCTGACAATGATAAATCAGCAAAGCTTAGACCTTGTTTCCCGCATGAAAAAATGAGTGTCAAAAGTAATGTTTTTCCCTTGATACCGCTATTATTTTAACTACCTTCACTTCTCGGCAATATTTATTGTTTTAAAAAGCGATGATTAGAATTGTAATAAAACCTAAACATTTGATGAAATTAAATTTATACATTTTTTTTGTCCTTGAGAATTTAAAACAAAAATATTAAACACTTTATTTATTAGATTATTTGCAAGAATAATTTTATATTTACAATATTCTACAAAGTAATAAAATTAAAACTAATGCAATTATTATCTTACTTATTATAAGACGCAGACAGTGTGTGTGTGTGTGTGTGTGTGTGTGTGTGTGTGTGTTTATATATTGGATCGGATTTCCTGCATATTTCAACCGATTTCAACAAAACTTCACAGGACTACGTAAAATTACCTTGCAGTGGTTCTGACAGAGCCAAAAATTGGTAAAACACAATTGTTTTTGCACAAAATCAATGTGAAAACACGATTAAGAGGCATCACGAGAATGAAAGGTTGTTTGTTTGTGTGTGTTCGTTTATATATGGGATCGGATTTCCTACATTTTTCAACCGATTTCAACAAAACTTCACTTTTTTTGGGCAGGTAGTGTTTCTTATTGTCTTGCATACTTTTTTCTTTATTTTTACATTCAGAATGCTTTAAAAATTCCATTTACAAAACAATTGTTTATAATAAAATTCTATTAAATTGGTAGACTCATAACGATTGAAAACAATGTTTTTGTTTGAGTTTGACCAATTCGTAAAAAAAAAAAAAACTAATTAAGACATGCGTGTCCGTCAACCTTAAACAATAATCTTTGTCAATTTTATTTTTCAGTCTTTATGATGGTCGATACTTGATCTATCTCTTACTGTTACATCCCCGGGCAACGCCGGGCTCTACTGCTAGTCATTTATCAATTTATAAAGAAATAAATATGAAAATAATTTTTATTCATAAATTTATAAATATTTCCTAATTATTAAAATATGCGAACCAACTATAAAGAAATTCTTATTATTTATCATTTTATGAAGTTCGCATCAATTGGAAATTAGTCGATGTTTTGTCAACCATTTCAATAAACAATCTAATAAATAAGTAGTGTTTATTATTTTTGTTGTCAATTCTCAAGAACAAAGAAAATTATAAATTCACTTCCATGTGTTTAGATTTTATTAAAATTCTGATCATCGCTTTTTAAAACAATAAACATTGCCGATGAGTGAAGGTAGTTAAAAAATAAAGGTTTCAATGACCAAAAAAAAACATCCTTTTGACTTTTTTGCGGGAACGAAGGTCTATGTTTGCCGATAAATCTTTGTCGTATCAGAAATAGAAAGACAAAATCGACAAAATCCAGTGCCGTAGTAATGCTATACTTGTCTCTTGACAAAACGGGCGATATATTCTTTTCCTGCACGTCCCTGACAAGATTTTCCCCGAAGAAAATGTAATTTATTACACACAGCTTCTACGCGTTATTGATGCAGTTGCCAAAAAGTTTTCGATTGCGCAAAACTCCACCAGTTTTCATGAATGACTCGTTGATGGCGGATACAGAAAGAAAATTAGAGCAACTCGAAGACAAGTTAACAAAAGGGAGCGAGAAGAAAGCATTATCAATTGTAAGAAAACAGAATGCATGATCGTTAGCAAGAGAGACAGCCCAAGATGTGAACTATGAATTCGAAACGCCAGAAGCAAGCAAGTACAGCAATTTAGCTATATAACCGTGTTATAACGTGGCACAAAAATCAGATATAATGATAGTTGCCTTCCATATGATAAACAAATTATAAAAAGAACATGAAAACTTAACTGTTATGTAATAATAATAATAATAGTAATCTTCTTACATAGCAGTGAATACTCGACGATTTTCTCACAGATGAAGAGGCAATAGGGATATGATACTCCAGAATGATAGGTCATTCGTAGCAGCGAATCGTCTGCTGTAGAGTGGGGTGTGGCGTATTAAGAATTATGATAGAATCAATGTATCTACGAGGAGGATGGGGTCTACTTGGGGGTAGTTTCAGAAAAACAAATTGTCAGTTTCTAGATTTGTTATGTTGTTCGGAATTTTTGTTTGAGCACATGGTGTTTCGGAAAGTTGAAAAGCTGAAAATGTCAATCGATATGATTGATCATATTTGCCCTGACTTCGTACTCTGATGAGGCGTAAATGAGTAACTGTTTTATCCACCGACAATCTTTATATTTAGTTCGATAGGCTCCCGAAATTATTTCTTCAAATTATAGTGGGTTTAATTTCCGTTCTTCTGATTATTGGAAAATAATCTAGAGTTTGAGTTTTCTCATTCCTTTTTCCAGAACATTCGATTTTCATTACCCTAGGTCAGAACATTCGATTTTCATTACCTTAGGTCAAATACAGCTTCGCCATAAACCGGCGCAACATCAAGGCTTATCAAAAATAAGTCGCACCTGAGCACCAATTTGGTTAATAATGTCTTCACTCGTAGGTAGTGATCAGATTTTCCAAGACCACCTTCCTCAATGTGTGCCCTAGAAATTCCAACTGTCTCTTCTTGATGTTAAATATAAGTTTCCTTTTTGTTTCCATTTTCTCTAAAATCTCAAATGTTCGGTTCATGATATCCTCAGCATCCTTCTGTAGAACCGATTTTTCTGTTGCTTCAAGTCTCTTCTTCATGTGTGAGGAGGACGAAATTTATGCATATCTGTACCTTATTTTTGTCCATCGCTCGTACTTCATGGCGTTAATTTACCCGTCTTTGTCGAATATTGAGCATTGCATTAATGCACAGAGAGTTTCTGCTGGTTAGCGATAATTAGAGAGCTCGTCCCGCAGGGTTATTGCAGTTCGAGCCTCATTAGTGTCAAAATCAATTGAACTTAGTAAATATCTACATTCGACATAGAACAGAGACAAGCTGTTAGAGAGAAAAGTAATAAAGCTACTGAAAGAGGGAAATAGAAGAATAAATAAACAAATACCTCGAAAGGAAGGAAGGAAGGAAGGAAGGAAGGAAGGAAGGAAGGAAGGAAGGAAGGAAGGAAGGAAGGAAGGAAGGAAGGAAGGAAGGAAGAGAAGGAGGGAGATAGGGAGGGACGGGTGAGGGAGGAAAGAGCTAGGTAGAATGCTGGGTAAAATCAAGAATGAAACAGAGAAAGCAGTCGGAAAGACTTAACATATATTTGTTTCAAGCTGAATGCTACAAAATAAAAAGGGAGCAGATGGGGGAGCTAAATTAGATGCTATAAGTGGGGGTGAAAAATCGGATATTAAGTTTTAACGATTCCTGATTCGATATTTTTTATATTAATCATAAAATGAATATTTTAAAATCTCTTGTCATAATATAAACATCTTTTGTTTCGATTTGAAATCCGCTTTTTTTTAGGCTTATACTTATTTCCTGGAATTGAACTTACAGACTTTTTCCGCATATATGACTTTGCAACGGAAGTCTGTTATAAATGATAGGAATTAAAATGCATAAAACGTACAGCAATAACAACAATAAAAACATGTGTTGACATAAATAACAAGATTTTGTATTTTCTTCTTGTAATGTGAATTACAGAATATTGGTATGGTGCGTCTAAAATGTTCTCAGCGTCTCTTCTGTTTAAAAGTCAGAGAATTTCGTTCGTAAGGATGGCGTTTTGAAATCGTCTGTTTCCGATCTTCACCGAGCGCTGGCTAGACGTCTGTTTTTGTACTGCAACTTGTCTACTCACCTCTTACTACTGCTACGGGTACTCTAGTCTACAATACTGTTCTCTACTATACTCTACTGACCCTCTTGCGGTGAAGGATCGTTTTTATAATGATGAGGGTAGGATGATGAAATATTCTTGTTTTCTATAATCACTGATGACAAGGTTATTTTTAGAATAATGAAATATCCTTATATTTTATCATCACTGATGACAAGGTTATTTTTGGAATGATGAAATATCATCAGCATTCTGGACCATAACAACATATTTAAAAGTTTTGAGAAGCTAATGTTTCGAATAAAATAAAGGTTGGTGAAAGTAATGGCAGTAATGATTTTAGACAAATGATTACATTGATATAGATTAATGCGGGCACGTTTAGTCGTCTGTCTATTTCTCAGTTTCAGCAAAAAGACCTCAACAAAAGAGTTTCGCCTGGGAACTATGCCTGCCTAGAGACCTGACTATAAATGCGTTCTATGCCTACCTATTTTTAAGCATAAACGCGAAATATGCCTGCCTAGAGACCTGACTATAAATGCGTTCTATGCCTACCTATACTCAAGTATAAACGCGAAATATACCTGCCTAGAGACCTGACTATAAATGCGTTCTATGCCTACCTACTCTTAAGTATAAACGCGAACTATGCCTGCCTAGAGACCTGACTATAAATATGTTCTACGCTTACCTATAGACTCAGTTATAAACACGAACAATGCCTGCGTAGAAACTTGACTATAAATACGGTCTATGCCTATCCATAAAGTCAAGTATAAATACAAACTATGCCTGCCTAGATGCTTTACTATAAATATGATCTATGCCTACTCATAGACTCAAGTATAAAAATCTTTGTACAGTAAATAACAAACAGTAGTTGATATAACGTAAATTAGACTCATACAGAAATCAGTCACTTTATCTGACTCAGTCAGTTAACTGCCTTACGGGATACACGCTTGGGCGATCATGTATCTTTCCACATATAACTGACGAGGCAGATTTTTTCCTGCAGTTGGTTGTCATTTGTTTCTGTGGTAGACTGGTTGCCAACCAAGGCTAAAGAATCTAGTCTATCCTGCTATTAAGCCCATAGCTGGGGGAGAGGACATAGACTTATATCTTTCCCAAAAGTATTTGTGCGCAAGTGAATCCAAAGAACTCGACTGGAATTCGAACTCCGTTCTCCGAATTCTCAATACGAGCCGACATCCTGATTGTCTGATTAATGTATCTATAAAATCCCTATAGACAGCTTGAAACAATTCCTTTTTGTTCCACAAATTATGTGTTCGCAAAAAGGTAATGTCAACGATTAAAACTGTTTTGTGCATTTATGTAGGCGTTGTCCAAGTCATTTATTTCAAGTCATTTTTCTAGGCGTTCGATATTATTTGCGACTCTGTTGCCTAAACAAGTCAGTGTGCGTGTTTGGACGAATTTTATTGCTTGAATATGACACAGAGAAAAAGAGTTAACTAAAAAGAAAGGGAGTCTTTTGACAAAGGAAGGAAAGGATAAAAAAGAAAGTAAATAAGACTTAGGAAAAACTAAAAAAAAAGTTAGAAAAGTCAGGTTTTACAACACTGATAAAGGATTTTGATAACATTCCCACACGAAAAATCAATAAAGCCATCGTGGAGAAAGCAAAAATATTACTGGGCTCTTGTCAGCTCCGCTCCACCAGTTTATGTGATCGACAATCAGTGGAAGTTGATTTGTAGCATTTTCAAATTTCAGTAAACTATGGCTGCACTGAATATGACCCATGTACTTGTAAAATCAGGCAGAGCAAAAGAGATGTTATTACGGTGTTTGATTTATTTTGGTTTAACTAACTACAGTACAGGGCCAAAAGTGAGTAGTTCCCAGCGAAGAACAAACTTACAAGAGTAGTGAACAGATGTCTGAAGTTCTATCGAATATAACTGGCTATACGAATGAATTCTACTGGAAAAAAAAAAGATTCCAGACACAAAAATTGCATAATTTTAAAAATTAATTTCATTTTGAATTATGTACAAAATCTAAGTATATTGTAGCGGACGGTGTTATGGATTGTAACTTCTTAGGAGCAGGGATAGAAAGCTTTCAATATAAATGAATTCAAAATTTCTTGATATAAATCAATTCGACACGTTCAAAAAATGCATTCAACACGTGGGAGATTTTTTTTATACATATATTTTTATATAAAGATCAACGTCGCTCAAAAAGAAGAGAAAAACAAAATTATATTCTAGTGTATACACAGAGACAGAGTTAATAAAAAGAAGCGTGTGTGAGATGCGCCACGTAGTTATGTGAAATCAAGAGGTAGGTATGCTTGGGGCAAGAAACCTCCCAGGCGGGGACTACTGAAAACATTTTTTACCTACCGCAGGGACTACGGGACACATCTTCTAACTACTGATCCAGAGAGAGAGAGAGAGAGAGAGAGAGAGAGAGAGAGACAGAGAGAGAGAGACAGAGAGAGACAGAGAGACAGAGACAGAGACAGAGACAGACAGACAGACAGACAGAGAGAGAGAGAGAGAGAGAGAGGGTTATAAACTTTTCTTTTATAGTCCTGAATAGAACGCACATTCTGGCAGACAAGGTGGGGTAATTCCACCATAACTTAAATATTTTATTCACATCGGTTGGTTAAGCACATTGTTTTTGCAAAAAACATTAACTAGCACCAACGGGATAAAATAACAAAATAAGCAATAAATATCTCATATCAACCAAACAATGGACACCTGAAGATGGCCAGTGGGTACTTGGCCGAAACGTTACGTCTATAATAACATCTATAATAATCAAGATGATAATAATTTGAACAAATTAATGTACAATGATCATTCTTCATCACAAAAATGATGAATAAATCATTAACTCACATAATAAAACATAACATATTGTAGTATTTATTTAATCTTATTTCTGTTTCTTTTTATCGCAACTTTTAGATGTTTCACTATTTTCTTTTGTAATTAGCTTCGACTGGAAATAAAGATTAAGTCTCTGTCAAAATTTGAACTCCCATTCCTTATAGGCCAGAACTTCTGTAGTAGCTGCTTTACCACTTAGTCTACGAAGGCTAACCGGCAAGAGCCATTTAGGTGTAACCATGAAGCGATTTGCCTGTTCGAATGCCAACTCACAGCCATTTTTTTACATTCTAGAGTAGCTCTGTGAGATATGTAGTGATTCATAAAGAAGAAACAGGAGTTGCTTCCTCTGCTTTGTTAGGCTATGTTAAAACAAAGGGAAGTAGAATTCCCATAATGCACTAAAAAGACAGTTTTTGGCGCGAAAATACCTCCCTCTCTCTCTTTCTCTCTCTCTCTCTCTCGCACACACACACCGCTAACTGGTGGACCAGGAAGATGTGTTTTCTTAAATGAGATCATAAGAAAGATCTCTTCTCATACAGATAAGCCTAAAAACATTCCTTTCTTTGCATTAATACATACAAATCAATACATACATACATACATGCATACATATATAGATAAAGTTAAATGGAAAATTATAAACAAAACTAGAACTTGTAAAACTTGGGATGACCCATGCCCTTTATGCCTACATGAAGAACTACACATTATTAAGTTTCTAAATAATAAAAATCTGTTAAACAATAGACATGAGTTAACGGTTTTTGCTGACATCATCAAATTTTTGCATTGAATAATTAACATAAAAACAAACAAACAATAAAATAATTTTTAAAATCCATAGTCCTAATAAATAGTTTAAATGCCCTACAAAAAAGATAACCCTTTATGAAGTCGTCAAAAAAACAAATGTTAGCGATTTACGACAGTTTTTATATACTCAAAACCCTTTCAGAAAAAAATAAAAAAATAAAATAAAAAAATAAATAAATAAATCTCCATAGACACTTAACCAGACTAAATGATGTCATCTTCCGCTTTAAATTTAGACACCCTAATTTTACTCTGACTTGACATTTGTGAATGTAACTGAGATATTGATACAAATTATTAACACCTTACGCCCCTTTTTCTTTAAACAATTGCTCTAGCCGTTACCGTAGAAATTTTGATTTCAATAATGAATATGCTTATAAAACACGTAAATTTCAGAAATAAGTTATTCCAAAAAAAAAAAAAAATTCGCTTGAAGATGGAACAGAGCTTAGTACTTTAATTCAATTTAATTCAAATAATTATATTGAAGTTTTCGGCTCTTGTTTAGAAACATGAGAACTCTTATGTAGCGTGTTGGAATCATATTTTTAAATAAATAATTATATTTATGCTCTACTTTTGTATCGAGCACTATTTTTTAAAAATAATAACAAAAATACTAAAGAACTTTCGATTATTTACCTAACGAGTTCTTTCCTATTTTCTATATATTTTCACACACACACACACACACACACACACACACACACACACACACACATAAATATATATATATATGTTCTGAGTATAATATGAATAAATTATTTAAGCAAGTGTATGTTTAATTATAAAGCATGTTGTATCTTGTTGTATGCACACCAAAAACTGTTCACATTTTCTCATGTGTTCATGTAAGATTAATTTAACATAATATGTACGGATGCTATAATCCCAGATAACAATAAAAGCAAGAACAAGGACTCTGATCATTCGTTCTCCCACAGCAGATATAACAATGTTCGAACTTCTTAGATGAAGTACTGTCAATTATTATTAACTAGTAATTATTTGAATTTGTTTCTATGGTTTGTTACCTTAACTCCGAAATTGTGATTCTATGAACATTAAATTTGAGAGATGCAATAAAAAAAAACAAAAGCAATAAGATGAAAAAATTGCTAGTCAAAACGAATAACAGTGAACTACTGAATGTGGGGAGACAAAAAAATAAGCTCGGTATTGTTTTAATGACACTTACCCTCGTTTAACAATTAACTCACCATGGTCGGCCAAGTTGTCACCTATAATTACATAATTTTCGCTGCAGTTGGCTGGACCGGTTTAACTATTAGTCACTTCTTATCACAGGACAAAAAAATAAAAAAATAAAAAATAGAAAATAAATTAAAATAAAAAAATAAAGCTGTGGACCGATACTGTAACAAGCAACAGACCGTAATTTTTATTGTTAGGATTTTATTCATAAGATATGAAATCTTTTATTGGATATTTGTACTTGATCCAATATTGTTATTTCCTAAGATTATATAAGTTTGGCACAAGGCCATGCGTACTATTTTGCACTAAATACAAATGCCGTCGCGATTAATCATGCCGGTGGGAATTTCTTAATTTATAAAATAAGCGTTGAGTTTTTGAATCCTGAACAAAATAATCAGGGAGAAAGTTATTTATTGCATAATTTTTTTTTTTTTAAAGCCTTACTAAAAATAGTTTCAATATTCATCGAGTTTTTTTTTAATAATCAATATAAAAGGAAAGATTAAGTAAAAAGTTGTTGAAATTAAGAAGGTTTTTGAATGAATTACCTTACATATTCGAGAATAGCGCGAGTTTTTATGATCAGTTTTTACGCCAAGTGGATGTATTCCCTACACATCTTCCCAGTCACGTTGATGGACACGATTCTCTTCTCGATCTCTTTTCTTTTACCTCTAACCCTGACTCTTGTCGCTCTGCACAGCTCTGCCCTCTTGTCAACACTGACAATGCGGTAATGTCTGTAAACATCTTCCTCTCTCACACCAGCCAAGAACCTCTTAGCAACAAAATATATTTCTGTTATCAACGAGCAGATTGAGGCTCGTTCCGAGGTTTCTTCTGTGACGTCCCTTGAAAAGAAATTTTTAATAATCCTGTTAAAAAATGCGCGTCTGCTGTCTCCTTCTGAGTGAAAACCGGCATCGATGCTTTCATTCCAGCAAGGAAATATCAAATTAAACTGCATTCATCTCCTTGGTTCTCACCTGCATGCTCAGTCACTATAGCCCACAGGAATCATTTCTTCCGGCTGTACCAGAACCACACGTCTGATTTCAACAGACGTCACTTTGTCTCCGCTCGTAACGGGTGCAATCGTGTCCTCAATAAAGCGAAGTAACTGTTTGTTGATAGAATGAAATAATGTATAACATCTCACAAGTTCGATTTTAGAGATTATTGGCGGCTGTGCAAGAGTGTGCTGAACAACAGAAAATCCTCAATCCCCCGCTCTATTCAATCAGTTCGAAGTCCTGACATGTACAGCTGATAAGGTGGAATGCTTTGCTCGGAAATTCTCTTCCAACATTCGATTCATCTGGAGTACCCACACCCGATTTCCCCATTAGAACTGAGGCTATATTGTGTGATATGCGCATAATCTCGTCACTGGCCTCGGGTATCATTTCTAAATTAAACTCCCATAAGGCAAGTGGAAGTGACGGGATACCAGAACTGGCTCCTGTTCTCTCCAAACTCTACAACTATTGTCTCACTGCTTCCCACATTACAGCTTGTTAGAAGTCCTCCTTTGCAGTCACTGTTTTTAAAACTCGGGAGAACCTTCTGACCCGTCTATCGCCCTAATAGTCTCCTACCACAAGTCTTCAAGACTTTAATCAATGCTGAAGTGGTTAAGCATCTTACCTCTCACAACCTACTTTCTGGTAAACAATATGGATCCGTTTTGCCCGGTTTACCACTGATGTGCTGAATAATAATGGCGAAGCACGAACTGTGGCTCTAGATATCTCAAATGCGTCTGACAGGGTTTGGCATGCTGCTTTTCTACGGGGGGCGAGGGTATTACACGACAATTATTTGATTTAATTCAATCATTCCTATCAAATCCTGAAATGAAGGTAATTCTGAACGGGCTCACTTCCCAGACTTTTCTTACGAACGCGGGTGTCCCCCAGGGCTCTATACTGTGTCCTACGCTGTTTCTGACCTTCATCAATGATGTTCCTGATATCATCAGTTCCCAAGTAGGCCTTTATGAAGATGCCACTGCCATTTATTTCTGTCTCAATAGCAAATCTATCAGTGCTAACCTGGCCGCCGTGGTTAAATGGGACAGGAAAAGGCTTGTAAATTTTAATGTCTCCAAAACTAAACTGTTCTTATTTAGCCACAACAGAGAAAATTCCCTGCCCTCCATCAGCATATGGCTGATGCTTGACTCCAGGAGAGCGTCTTATTCGGCCTTATTGGTTTCACGTTTTGAAATAGTTGTGGAACAACTACACAGAATCAATAGCTTCATTTACTGCAAGGAAAGTTGGTTTATTGTGTCGTTCCATAAGTTTTTTTTTCTCGTCAGAGTCGATCTTGCACATTTACAAATCTACCATTCGTCCATGCATTGATCACTGCTGCCATATCTGGTGTGGTGCTCCTGCTATTTATCTCAAGGTTCTTGACAAAATCAAAAGAAGAATCTGTAATTTAATCGATTCTGACTTGGCATCTCGACTTCAGTCATTTTCTCACAGACGTGGCGCGGCTTCCTTCTGTCTTTTCTAAAAATATTTTCATGCCAACTGCTTTTTTCCCCTGGTACCCTTCGACACGAATTTAAACGTCCTACTAGATTGGCATCTAGGTCCCACCCATTTACTGTTGAAGTTGTTAAATGCAACCGCCATTTCTACACCAACAGTTTCTTTTCCCACACTTCCCGCCTTTAGAACTCTCTTCCGTTTACTTGCTTCACTGATAACTACAATCTTCAAAAATTTAAATGCAACGTCAATCGTCATCTTATATCTTTTCTCCTTTCCTTAATGCTGCCTATAGTCATTCTTTTCTCTCACTTTCACTCCCTGGAACCGCCTGCGTACTATTCCTGTCTTGCTTGGGGTGAAATGATTAAAAAATTATATAAACGGCATTATGTTATCTACAGTCCTTGTCTTTGTTGTTACAATCACGATATTTCGGCTGTCATATCCTCCGGATAGGGAATTTCGATCTGAAAATTTTATTTAATCGATGGACGTCTCATTCTGTTGTCCATGTTTAGAGATATCGTGTCTTGTATTTTTTTAGTACTGTTCAGTTACTGCTCGACCTGTTCCTACGAAATTTGTATCGGAACTATTCGGACCAGGGATTTAACTGGAAATTACTATGCCATCAAAGTCACAGACCAACGCTGTTATCCTCTAGGCTGTTGTTCAAAATTAAATGATGCTTACCCAGTTCGATAGACACCTGAATAAGGCCGGAGGGTACAAAGTCTGAAACATTGGGATAGTAACAGAAAAGGACAGTAGTTTGCCTGTAAAAAATGTAAACAATAATAATAACTCATCTTCCAAGAAATACAGCCGGAACACACACACACACACACACACACATATATATATATATATATATATATATATATATTTTAACATACAACGTGTGTTAGCACGTGCGATACCCTGTCTTCATCAGCCGCCGACGAGGGGTGATATCACGGTTTCGGTGGCTATGGCGGAACCGCCACCCCTAGCGCCACCAGCAGCGTTTGCCACCAGGCAGGGTATGAAGATAAGCTAACTAATTGTTCCTTTAAGTAAAATCTATCTGCAATGAAAGTTTCTTAAACGCGTTTGCTGTTATTGACGCGCTTGTAAAAGTCGTTATAGACGACCACGCAAATATCTCACTTATATATATGTCAGGGGGATGCTTCCCTGATCACTACTATTTTAGCTTTTTCGAGTCTAGAATCAACCATTTTCTCGTACATATTCTCATAACAGAAAAATTTGTCTTTCTTTTTCTCTCTCTTTTGTTCCTCCTTTGCTTTCTCTCCCATATATATATATATATATATATATATATATATATCGATAGAGAGAGAGAGAGTGAGAGAGAGAAAGAGATGGGGAGGAGACGGAGAGAAGGAGGAGGAGACAGGAAGAAGAAGGAGGAGAGAGCGAGAAAGAGAGAGAAAGTATGTGCTCTCACTAAAAACATACATTATGTTTGTTCTAAAAAAAACCCAAAACTGAATTTGCTTTCAGCGGAACAATATGCCAAACAGCACCAAAACTCAATTAAATCTTATCACTGATTCACGTTTCTCTCCCTTGTTTGCCGACCAGATGAAGTCTGGTAAACACTTTCTATAAAGAATATTTTGTTTTGTGCAAAAACAGAAATCGTAACTCTTTGCCCACAGCAGCAAATATGAATTTTAAGCAATTATTTACCCAAACATCCCAAAGAGAGATTACTAATGTCATGTCTGTTTTGAGTCTCCTAGTTAGTCAAATATTTGGGAAGTGTTTTAACAGAGGGCGGAAAGTACGACACAGAAATCAGAAGGCGCATTGGAATAGTAAAGATGCCTTCCAAAAACTAAGTAAACAGAAATAAAATTCATTAGAAACAAAAAAAAGTGCTAGGTAATATCAGCCCTCCTATATGGCAGTGAATATTGAGCGATCTCCTCATGGACGTAGAAACTTACTACCACCACGTGTTGAAATACCAGTTCCTGTACGATCACTAAAGTTAAGAAAACGTCAAGCCTGGTCAGTACTTTGATGGGTGATCTCTTGAGAATACCAGGGGCTGTATGCTTGAATGTTGCGGGTGGTATAATGGATAATGGCTCGGAGTTGTTAATCGGCGAGCCGAGTTCTAATTCCAGTTGGGTTCGTTATATTCACTTAAGCGCAAATACCCTTGGGAAAGTCTTGAATCCCCCTCTTCTTCCCCTAGTTATAGGTTAATTAATAAGAATTGTATCACGAAATCATTATTATCTCAAAAAAAAAAAAAAAAGAAAGAATTCTTACAATCTAAAAATATTTTCTGGCTTTAATTAACCTGAAAGGGTTGATAAGCCGTAAAAAAGGAGTCAGTGAACCAATGAAAATAGAGAGAAGAGAATAAGAGATTTGAAGCAACAGAAATATGACTCTCAGAATAACATGGACCGAACATGTGAGCAACAAGGAAGTTTTCGAGAAAATGGAAAAAGGAGAGTAATACATAAGGAATGTTAATATTCTTAGGGCGCATAATGATGAAACATAATGACTAATAGTACCGCGCAAAAGTAAGTGACTCCAAGATAATATTTAAAAAAAAATGTCTCTTTTTACCATATAATTAACAAATTCTAATTAAATTATATATTCATTAAAAAAAAAAACTTTATTAAACAAATTACAACCATTTTTAAAAAATTCTATCAAGCTTGTACGTAACTGTTAGGTAATATCAACCCTCCTATATGGCATTGAATGTTGGTCGATTTCCTCTCGGACGAAGAAGCTTACTGCCATCACGTATTGAAATCGGTGATCGTACGGGAATTGGAGCAGAAACCAATGATGTGCAAAAGTAAGTGAACCCTTCCATTTAATATTTGGTGAATCCCCCTTTTGAGGTCCATGACATCGACCAGTCTTTTTCTAGAAAAATAAGTATTTTTATGTGTGGATCCCAGTACAGTTACAAGGTCCCTGGGACGCTCCATATGGATCCCGGTTGAAAAAAATCTTCTCTAGAGAATTCGTAACTGATTATCTTTGCTTTGCATTCGGCTTAAACAGATCAAAGTCATCTGCATGGGCAGCAAACGGACGTTACCGAATACTCACCCCCCCCCTGCCCAGCAAACTGCAATAAATGCGGACGATTTTCCTTGCTATAGATTCGTAACCTCTCAGGATATCTGCATTTCCTCAATGGCGACATTGAACTGGTCATATGAGAAGTTAGTTTTACGTTAGATGCTGACGTGGGACAGAGTTTTTCTTTATGTTTGCATTCCAAAAGAGGCTTCGACCTGCTTGCCAGAAGGAATCTGTTCGTCACTAGACACAACAGGAACTACTGGTATCATTATTGATTGGCCAACGTGTGGTCCAACTACTAGTATTGCATCAATCACATTGTCCAAGAGATTCATGGCTATATAGTGATTTCCATTACTGTCTCCTTTAAGAGAATAAAGTTGTGTGACAGCAAGAAAAGGCAACTTTTTTTCTTAGTAGTCGATGAGATTGCATTCCAAATGCATAACACCCTGTCGGTTGGGATCAAGAATTCGCTGACTATATCCCCGTGCAGATAGATAAACATTACATAAAATTCGTCCACCTGTTTGCTCTACCTATGCCTACATTTTTAACACAAGTGCAAACCGAATTATTTTATCTTTTCGAATCTCATTCAAACTGGGCATATGTCTATATTTTAACTCTTGCGCAAACCGGTCCTATATCTATCTATCTATCTATCTATCTATCTATCTATCTATCTATCTATCTATCTATTCTAGTCCTTTTATATCTATCTATCTATCTATCTATCTATCTATCTATCTATCTATCTATCTATTCTAGTCCTTTTATATCTATCTATCTATCTAGTCTTTTTATATCTATCTATCTATCTATCTATCTATCTATCTATCTATCTATCTATCTATTCTAGTCTTTTTATATCTATCTATCTATCTATCTATCTATCTATCTATCTATCTATCTATCTATCTATCTATCATTTTTTTTAAAGTGACAGAATTCGGTATTAGATAACTTGAAAATGGCTGAATGCCGTAAAATAAGGCAACCCAAACCAAATGCAGAGATACTGTTTAGGAATTCTCCCGAGTACATGTCAGCGAGGGTGTCAGTTTTTCTGTAAGCCTCATCACCCGGAAGTTTTCCATAATAAGACCGGTTATTTTTATCCACCCTTCCATATGTGGACTGCTGAATCCTTCAGGCTCAGTGGGTAGCAGTTACTAAATACAGTGTCGCACAAAAGTAAGTGGACCCCAAAAGCCAAGAAGCGGTTATGTTTACACTGTAACGGCAGCATGAAAACTGGCGTGATCAAGCTCAAACTTCGATCACGTATCCACAATACTACCAATTATGAGCACGCATGAGAAGAAGACAGTGTGGCAAACCTAAAGATGTGTTATGGTGAAAGTGCGGATAAATTTTTGACTTACTCTCGTATTCAGGCTAGCAATTCAGTTACAAAACTCGCCTATTCTCACTAAACACTAAGCTCTACTTTTATATTCATTGTCAACTTTAAAACTTTTGGCCCCCTGTCATGATACAGTATCCCCTAACCTATTCCATCCGGAAGATCATTCAGCAGTGCCTGTACTTTTCATGTGAAGCACTCTTGTAATGATACCAGACCGGTCTACACGTACATCACCAGGAAAGAGCAACGAACTCTTGAATATATGTTAAACGGGGGTAGCATGTGAAAGTTTTTTAATAGGTCATGTTTACTAAGAGACTTGGAAAACCTCGGCATATTACGGCGCGGTAAATAGTTGGAAGTTGTTGTAGCCTAGGGAAGGTTACTGAATAGAATAATCAAATGAAGGTTGGCAATGAGCGATAATACTTAGGACAAGAACAACACATATAAGATTCGCCAGCGGCGCGTAGAATTAGTAGTCAACTGTTAAAAGTGAGTCAAGTGAATTCCACAATGAATTCCCAACTGTAGCATATCTACCAACCGCCCCATGGCCGAATTTAATGTGGTGTATCCGAGCCAGTAGGCTCGGCCAAAAATTCCCCGTAGACACTGTATAAAACGAGGTCGGGTAGCTGTTTCCCGAGACGAGACTCTGCCCTCGTCTGAGGATCCTGTCTGCCCGGTGGCAGAGAATTTGACCAGCACTGCCGGAGACGAACCTCCAACTACAGACCAACATACAGTATTTACTACTGCATTTATCTGAATGGGGACATACCTATTATCGTCCGTAGGTATGCTACAACAGAATGAGAATTATTTTTAAGTAGAAATTTTTTTATTATAGGTATTAATATCATCAAAAACATCCCAGATACATTTCCGCACAATTTTTTTTTCCTTTTGGTGACTTATCACGTAAGATGAATTCATCTCGGGGGAGAAGTCACTCATTAACTTTCCAATAACTAGCTTTCATGCGTAAAATTATTGTTTATTCTCTTCAGAAATCCGTCAAATTACAACCGGCGTGAGGTTGTGAGTTCCAGGAGACTTTCTTCGAACATTGATCTTCTTCTCGTGAGGATGTAAAAGCTTTCCCTCCCGGGTGGGATGTATATGGAACTTACTGTCATCTGCTTGTCTTGTGTGTGTGTGTGTGTGTGTGTGTGTGTGTGTGTGTTTGTGTGTGTGTGTGTGTGTGTGTGTGTGTGTTTGGTTATATTCTAAGTGTAGACTTGTTGTTTATATGTCAGGGTAGCCACTAACATTATTTCAGGCCCGATTCTGCACTTGGTAGTTATGAAATCACCTTATAGATCACCTCTCTCATGCACCTGGCTCTTTGATATACTGGTGTGACACCGAATTTACTTTGGAATATCTTAGGGGTTAGCCCAGTAAATATCGGGGTCACCTCCTCTTAAAACAAAGATTTCTTATTTAAATTAAATTTGATTCAAAACGTGGGTATTTCATGGGGTGAATCACACAGTACACAAGAATCTTGCTGTGTATGTCTTCTGGCCATTAAGAATTATTTCAAATGTCTTCAGGCTCTTTGACTTGATGATGATAGCAGGGAACTTATTTGGTGATAGCTTGTCTCACCCACTTCAAATATGAAGCCATTTTCCCGAAAGCGAAACGGAAAGATATGGTAGAAAGGATCATAAGTGAGATCTATTTCATTGATTTTATTTAGGTTGCCACTGTGTTCAGACAAGATAATTATTCACATTTAATTAAACGTTACTAATTAACTTCGTAGTTTTTCAAGCTGGAGATGGAAACTAATAACATAGCATTATTGTTTATAATTGAAAATTCGCACAAAACATGTTTAAATCAATACATTTTTATAACTGTCTCTCACTTCAATGAAAGCATAATTCTTTACAAAAATCTATTAACTTTATTTATGGTCTCGGGGCAAACTGTTAATTTTTAGTCACGCAGTGATAATACTCTGCAATCAGAAAAAAGACAGCTGCAATTTCTGGGACGTATAATAGAGAAAGAAAACGTAGAGAATTTTAATCATATTCCATTCACTGCTTGAGGTGGACAATCTAATCATAGATGAAGTGACTTGAAGCAGCAGAAGTGTAGTTCTACAGAAAGATGCTGGACATGTGAGTAACGAGGAAGTTTGAAAGAAAAATAGGAACTAAACGGACGCTTATAATCAGAATCAGAGAGAGAGACACTTGAGATTTCTCGGACGCATAAAGAAAGACGGCTGGGAGAATCTGATACTCACAGGAAATATTAAAGGCAAGAGGGGAACTGAATAACAGGGAGTGTGGGGGGAGAGCGAAAAGACAAAACTTACAAAGGTACTAAGGATAGGAAGTTGTGTAGAACATGATGTCCCACGTCGTTAAGGGGCATAACTCATAGAAGGGGGTGATCATAACGATGATGATGATGATGATGATGGTGATAATAGTAAAAATATTGAAGGTAATAAAGGTAGGAGAAAGCAATGAATAATCTACTTGGCGAGTTTGCTTGAATGGATAGTGAAACAAGGGGAAAGGTGGGGGGTAAAAAGGTTTATATCTATCTATCTAGCGAGCTATCTAGCTTTTCCAAGCGTAGCTTAGATGTGGC